AGCGGCCTAGCTCACAATTGGTTAGGCACGCAAGTGGCATTCAGGAGATCGTGGGTTCAAACCCCATGGCCAACTGCGGTACGCTTGGTGCCAACCAGCTGAGATAGGCAGCTTCATCCCCCTGGCTGGTATCCGTAGCGTCTTCAGCCACCACGGGATTGTGAGTGGGTTGCGTGTGGCGCGTGGGAGACTGTTGGCCGTAGACACTGCTATTACTCGATAAGGGTGGGGGATGATGAAAAGGGAGGCACAGCTACTGGTAAATGCTCAGCCCTTGTGTTAGCCGCGCCCCCACCGGCGGGCCCAACCCTACACCTAAAGCACTAGGGCAAGGGGCAAACATGCAATACCTCCCTCCACCGAGAGAGTTAACCTCCCTTCACCAAGAGAGGTTGATTGTTATGCTTGCAGGGGTCCCCTACGTAGCCTTAGAAGTAGTGGTAGGTAGGTGGTGGAAGATGAAAGAATTTGAGAAAGAGAAAAAAAAAAAAAATTGCCACTTGGAGGATATACTCTCACTAAGACTTCTTCTACTGCGCTCTGGACATGATTGCAGTCAGATTCATCCAGGTTCATCAGCCGTAATTAGTCAGATACGTGAAAAAAGAAGTGCTAGTGTGAGTATCGCCAGGGAATTCTGGCCGTGTGGTCCCGACTGCTCTGTCTGGGTTTTGGAATCGCACGTCTGTTAACCCGAGTAGGATATTAACCCTCTGAGGGCATACTCACACTAGAGGACTTTTTGACTCCATCCTGGTCGTAATTGCGGTCAGATACATCCATGGCGGGCCATAACTGCACGCAGATACATCAAGGACAGTGCTAGTGTGGCCTCGCCCTCATTCAGGGGCAATGCTTAGTAGGATCTCAATCAGGGCACAAATATCAATCACTATTCTCCCGATTTCCCTCCCGCCTCACCTCCCACCAACACATCGTCTCTCACACTCCCTCCCTCTCTCTCTCTCTCTCTCTCTCTCTCTCTCTCTCTCTCTCTCTCTCTCTCTCTCTCTCTCTCTCTCTCTTGTGCACACACAGAGGACAATACTTAGTAGAGTTCCGATCAGGGCACAAATGCCAATCTCTCTTCTCCCAATTCCCACATATTGTCTCCCTAACCGACTCTCTCTCTCTCAACTCTCTCTCTCTCTCTCTCTCTCTCTCTCTCTCTCTCTC